CCCCGGGGCGGCCCTGGTACGGCCCCGGGGCGGCCCCGGTACGGCCCCGGGGCGTCATTCAAAGGTTAACAATACGTATTTAAGAAAATTGTCCCCACTCGTAGAATTAATTTACTTGATTATCACCATGAATCGATTAGATGTGTCGGAATTAACAATAATCACCGACCTTTCTTTTTCATGCGAAGAAAAAGCTCTCTGAAGTGATGAGGGGAGAAACAAATAAATGCCACTCAATGATGCAATCTTTACATTTATGCCATACAATAACATAAATATAAGATCTATGCCTTTTAATTCACTACACAAAATCCTATCTATTAAACTTCAGTGTTATAAATGTAACGTTCTTGAATTTTAGTGGCATACCATGTAGTTTCCTGAATACGCAACCTAATTTGAGATAAATCTAGAAATACCATTCAAGATGGTAAAGAGTATTATTCATGTCACTACACTTAAAAATAAACAATTTTCATTCAATTAATAAAGAGAAAACAAAATGGTCAAAATGACACCTTATTATTTAGAATAGAAAATTATTGGTAACCGAATAGAAAAATTTAAATTTGAACAAAAATTTAAATTGTGTGAGGGAAAATTATTGGTAACCGAATCGAATTCGGATGCGGAAGCATGGGGAGAGGCGGATCGTGTATAACAAAAATTTTCATAAAACCTTTGAGATACTCTATAGATTATATTAATTTATGCACGAATAAATTAATCTCATTAATTCATTTATTAAGAACTCAATTACGAATAATACATGGCGGCCGATTAGGATGATAACTTGAGTTCTTTGACCTCGAATAATCCTTGCTCCAAAGCTTTGTGTTTAGAAAACCAATGTCTTTCACGTCAATTCCTAGAATCCACGAAGACATGTGTGTGGACATACATGAGACAAAACTGGTTAGAATAAACACTCGAATTTTCACAAACACCAACGCATGCATGATGTGAAATTTTTGGAGAAAAAATTTTCCTTCCCTCTAAGAGAATAATTTCGGCTACCCTATTCACATTAGGGTAAAAATTGTTTCAAAAATTGTCTCGCACAATCTCTTTTTTCTCTATGAATTTCGGCCACCAACAATTAGGGCTGAAAAAATTTTGAAGAGTAGAAGTCAAACTTCAAAATAGGATCAAATCCCTATCTCCAATTTTGAATTTCGAACAGAAAATCCCTTCCTCTTATCTCTAATGTGGCCGGCCACGCTTAGGATTTCCTAACCCTGTGTGTGTGGCGCCAATTCAGATAGGGAAGGAAGAGAAAAATCATCCTTTATCATGTAGTCCAATTTTGACTCAAATTCTAATTTTAATTTAAGTCAAACTTAAATTAATTTGAATTATAAAATCGAACAACTTATCAAATAAGTTTAAATGGATAAATCTTGATGTGTTCAAATTCAAATTTAAATAATCACATTATTTAAATAATAATTAATTCTCAATTAATTATTTT